CTGGGTTCAATCTCCAGCACCAAAAAAAAAAAAAAAAGAATTTCTGTTTTTTGTTTTTTTTTCCCCCTTCAATGCTGGGATCAAACCATCAAACCAGGCTTCATGCAATGCCTAGCAAGCACTCTATTACTGTGCTGCATCCCAGCCCTCTGTTTAATTTTTTTTTAAATTGCTTTCATCTCTCTGTTAAGTTTCTCTGAGAGTATTTATGTCTCTGTGTTTTCTTCAAACTCATTGAGTTTCCTTAAGACAGCTATTTTAATTCTCTATGTGAGATGTTCCCATAGTGATTACTGTCTGGTCAGTTTCTGGCACCTTGTTTTGAGTAGTAGGTGAGGTCATGATTTCCTAAAAGCCTTTGATGCTTGTTGGTATGGCAGTGATGTCTGGGCATTGGAAGGTCACATTTTATTCCATTCTTCCTTATATGGCTTTGTTTATTCCTGTTTTTCCAGAAATCCTAAGCAGCCTGCTTATTTTCTCTGATCCTACAGTCACTTTTACTGCTTCAGCACTAGATGACACCCAGGGCCAGATTTGCCAGGAGTTTGCTCTTTGTGTATTGTCACTATTTCACTATTGGAAGGAAACCCAAGCCTAGGTATCTACCAAATAGACCTAACCCTAAACCTTAACTTGCTGTGTTGTTCAGAAATAAGAGAATACCTACAGAGAGTGATCTGTCCCCATAAGCTTCTTCCTGGAGCCAGTGTAGGCACAGATGCCTCATTCACAGTTAATGGCCTGTGGTCAGTCACTGCAGAATTCTTCCCAGCTCTGGGCAGTGTCGCTGAATGAGCTGCCTTGGGCTCTTATGTCACTCTCGGTACCACCAAAGCCACCAAGCTGTGTCACATCCTAAGCCCACACCCCACCAAGATCAGCACAACACTGAGTTAAGACCCAGGCCTACACTGCTGTCGGCTACTTACTGCTGAAGTAGACTCATGGCCTAAGACTGCTGCAACCAGCCAAAGGCGATGCTTGCTGCAATAGAATTGCAATAGATAGGGACCATGTGTCTTCCTCTGATATTGGAGCTATGTCAAAGACTCCACCCATAGGTTGGATGGGGCCCATTAAGATCTACACTGTGTTAGGTTTCACCAGCCCAGCATTAAGTTCTAAACTGAGTTCTTATCTTTATTGCCCTGTCCTAACCCCAGCAAATGAAGTCTTTCAGCAGGCTATGCTGCCCAAGATTGGAGTAGTATTGGCCAGTCCCTTGGCCACCTGGGCTGATGCTATTGCTAGGTTGTGCCTGAGTCTCACAGCCACATGGACCAGGGTTACACTTAGGCCCATGCTACAGCTGTTGCTGATGCAGGGTGAAACACAAGTATGTCTCACTGGAATTCAGATCTTTGCTTGGTGTTATGGCTTTTACAGAGCTCTGTCTGTGAATATTGGTCTGGAGATAGCTGTGCTGCCTGAGGTTGGGGGATGGGTGGTGGAGACAGTCCCTTGGCCACCAAGGCTGATGCTAAGCTGAGTTGCACCTGAATTTCACTTCTGCAGGGGCCTACAGGGACTTGGAGAGGAGGGTGGTTGTTCCCTAGGCTCACTTCAAGGCTGAAACTGACGCAGGCCAAAACTTGGGTCTGTCCTATAGGCAGGCAGATTTCCATCTGGTGCCAGAGCTGATCTGGAGGCTCTGTGGGCTCTGACTTGTGTGCAAGGCCTTCTGTTTCTGCTGAGTACTGGTCTCACCACAGTGGTCTGGATCTGGGCTTCAAGGCCAAGCCCTGAGCTAACTTTTTTGTCTTGCTCCCTAAGGGTGGGTATAAGCTTCCTCCCTACTCTGACACTTGAGTTTGGAGGAGGGGTTCTGGAAGCATTCTCTTTACCACCTGGCCTAATGCAGTTCTTGAAACTAAGTTCACAGGTTATCAGTCTGGCAGTAGGGGTCATTTGTTTTGCTCAGCACTGGATTTCACCATGGAGGACCTGTGGTATTGGGTTTCAAGTCCTCAACTTAATTATTTCTCTGTTTCCCATGTGGGAAGTGCCTCTCTCCAGGGTGGGCTGCTTAGAGTTTGAAGAGGGGTACAGCAATTCTTCCCTTCCTGCCTTCTTCAATGCATCTTTTCATTTTGTTATACCAAAAGCAGGTGCTATGATCTCTTACCTCAATTGCATATCTCTTGTGCTAGTAGTTTGGTACATGAATAGCTATTCAACTTGGTGGGTGTATCTCTTTGGTGAAATTGCCAGAGGATCTTAATGAGCCACCTTCTTGCTCAGTAGTGCCAGGGATCTTTATTTATTGCTATATTCCCCAAACCCAAAAATAATTCCTGGCATATCATGGTCATTGAACGAGTATTTTTGAGTGTAAACATTGTATATTCATTTAATTCCAGTTGCTCTCTAACCTCAGGGACATGTATCATTGGCATTCTTTTTCAGTTTTTCCAGTGTCTGTTTTCCCTATGTGTTTAATTCCCTTCTAAACTTGAATTTCCCTGAATTATAATATGGTTGAGCACTTTTGCAAACACTTATTAGCTATACATAATTATGAGATACCTCTTCAGTATTTGCTCATTTTCCTAATGGTTGTCTTTATCTTTTTCTTATTGATATGTAGGACATTTTTATTTATCTGGATTCAAGCTTTTAGTTATTTGTGTAGTAAATACCTTTTTAAAATTCTTTGGCTTTTCTGTCTCTTGATGACATTTTTTTGATGAACAAAAGTTCCTAATTTTAACATGGTTGAATTTACTAATTTTTTCTTTAATTGTTAGTGCTTTTTGTGTCCTATTTCTATAAATACTCTTAGGCCTTGCTGGTGGAAATACAGAAGAGTATAACTCCTACAGAGCAAAATCCAATAATATATAGAAAAATTACATGCACATTTATCCTTTGTCTCAGCAATTTTACTTCTTAGAATCTGTTTCAAAGATATTCTATAAAAGTACCAAATCCCATATACATAAGACTATTGTTTCAAGGCATTATTCATAACAGCATAAGACTGGATATAAAACCAATATGTATCAGGGGACCAGTTGAACAAACTATTGTACATCCACACAATGGAATACTGTACAAATACAAGAAGGAAGAAGGGCTCTATACATTAATATGGAATTACTTCTAGGATATATTGTTAAGTGCACAAAAGTTGTAGAACAGTATTTATAATAAGTTACCTTTATGAAGGAGAAGGTATAACTAATGAATTTTATATATGTGTGTATGTTTGTATGTGTGTGTGTGCTTATTTGCTTATATTTTTTAAAAAGAAACAAAGGAGCCATAAGCCAAACTTAATAAGAAATATTATTAATGGGGAAGGAAGGGAATGGGATGAAGGGAACAGAGATGGAAGTGACACATCTGTGAAGGTACTGTATGACAGTTTTCACTTTTGATCCATGTAAATGTTTTGCATAATTTAAAATTTTAATTACAAAAGGACATAGGGCTGGGGGATGTAGCTCCAAGTAGAGTGCTTGCTTAGTGTGCACAAGGTGAGGCCCTGAGTTCAGTCCCCAGTACCACACACACAAAAAGTGGGGAAGGGGATAAATTCATAAAATTCAAAAACAACTTCAAGCAAATAAACCTGATGATAAAGTTGTAACATAACTACACAGAGAAACAATTACTTAAAATGACTTTAATACCTGTATATCCCCAATAAGGTTTAATTTAAAGGCAAAGTAACTGAAAAGAAATATAAAACTGTATTCAGTAGCTTTATTGTTGATAGTGCTATTAGTACTGTATTTGAAATTCTAAAATTCTATAAGTGTATTGTTGTAGGTAGACATTAATAAGTAATTTTGTTATTATTAGAATCCAGTGTCTTAAGCATACAAGATACATGTCTAAAATCAAAAAGTTTAAGGAAAAACCTTGTAATCTTAAATCTGAATTAGAATTACTTATATGAACTTGTGATCTATTTTTTTTAATGTGTTAATTTTGCCCACTAAGTAGGGCTGGAAACAACAACTCAATACCAATGAACACAGGTAGTAACATACCCTGGTTTCTAAATACCACTTCTCACTGAAAGGAACCAGGGGTCAAGTATTTCAGGTTCAGGTTAAGAAATGTGTGAGATAAGCCTGGGCTGTCTTGCTGTGCCAGAAAATCAAGGCAATATAGGAGCTTATTTGGAAGGACACATCTATCTATAAAAGATTCTTGCATAAAATACTGAACATGAACTTCATCAAATATTTAGATCAGCACTGTTCAGTACAATGCTCTGTAATTATATAAATGGACTTTGTCTATTCTGTCTAGTATGGTATACATTAGCCACATGTAGCTATTGAACATTTGAAACTTTCTAAGTTTCACTGAGTAATCCATACTAAAAACTTAAACAGACACATGTGGCCAGTGGATATTGTATTATATAGCATACCTTTAAATTTAACTGCTCAGAAATAGAGAAGCTTGAGGAACAAGTGAATACTATCAGGAAACAATTCATCCTATTCATTTGTGTATAGAACAAATAATATTTCTCTACTAAATCAATGAAAGGACTAGAAAATAAGTTAGAGGGGTGGAAAGGAAGGGGAACTGTTTTAGAATGAAAGAGATTTAAGAGTTGTAATATCCAAAGACTGATTTAGATCCTGAATTAAATAACCAAGTGCAAAAAAAAATCTTTGAAATAATAAAGGCAATTCATATATGAATTCAGTATTTAATGATAATAAGGAACTATATCAATTTGATTAAGTGTGATAATGCCATACTCATTGTATTTTTCAAACATCCTTATCAATGAGAGGTGCATATACTTGTATGATCCTGAGAGTCCTAGGTGCCTCATTTACCTGGCCATCATTCTGGCCTTGCTTGAGATGCACTATAATAAGATAGTTATATATCAATGTCGTTTGTCACAGGTTGTAAAGACTTTCCCAGCAGAATTGCTAATTGGAGATCCATGATTTAATTTTTATTTGTTAAAGATTGTGCTGGTAGGCTTTGTAGAACTTCCATATCTCTTTGTCTTGATCCAGATGAACCCCCAAAGAAGAACAAAGGTGATCCCATGAACAACCTGGAAAGTTTTTACCAAGAGATGATAATGAAAAAACGTCTTGAAGAGTTCCAACTTATGAGAGGTGAACCCTTTGCTTCCCACTCACTGGTCTCAGCCACATCAGTGGGTGATAGTGACACAGCTGAGAACCCGTCACTACTCCAGGACAAGGGAAAACAGGCAGCACAGGGTAAAGGTCCCAGTCTCCATGTGACAAAAGTTATTGATTTTTCACCTGAGCAGTGTTGGACTGGGCCTAAGAAGCTGACGCAGCCAATAGAATTTGTCCCAGAAGATGAGATCCAGAGAAATCGTTTGTCAGAGGAAGAGATCCGAAAAATTCCTATGTTTTCTTCATATAATCCAGGGGAACCAAACAAGGTATAGGCCAAACCAAGGAAAACAACATGGGTTGTTTTCATTTTTTATTTACTTCTACCAAAAATAATATTTTAAAGTTAGCTTTGATTATACCAAAGATCATGACATAGGCATAGTGATTGTGTTTATCCTTAACCTTGACTATTCGTTCTCTGCATAGTATATAAGTAGCATATTCCCATGATGTTCTTTGTGCTTGTCTTAGGTCCTAAATTACCCTTAAAATTTTAACAAAATCTTGATGACATGCTAGTTCTACCTATTAGAAGCCCTTAATTGAAGGAAAAATAACTTCTAATTTCCTAGACTAGCAATAATCAATTATTATTCATAGGACCACCATAACTGGTAGCCATGATGCTTCTGGAATTAGTCAATAATGATTGACCAACTGGTTGTAAGTAGAGTTAACTGTTGGTTACCATGTGAGTTTTCAGTTCAGAATGTTCTACCTGACTTTCATGTGACATGACTTAAGTTTCTGTAAGCAAAGACACAAAATGAAAACATGAGTCCTCTGAGCTTTGAGAAATTGGCAACAAATTAACATTATGTATTATCCTTGTTTTACAGATCAAATCATTATTTCATGTGCATAATATATGTAACATCTGAAATGGAAAACTCATTACAATGTTATTCAATAAGGCAACATAAGCTCTTAAAGAATTATTATACTGTGTCTAATTTAAAATACAAAACAAAATAATGCCAGTTTCTGACTGTCCCTGAATTTAAAAAAAAAAGCATTATAGATGAGGGACGTTAATTATTTTCCTCTGTGTGACTGATTTCTAATGTTTTTTCTGTTTGTTCAAGGGTAACTTGATTTTTATTTAGTTTACCAAAGGTTATATAAAATATTATAGCACGCCCCTGTGTACCTAGTAGCCATATTTATCAAATCTTAATAGTTTCTGTATTTTGTTAATCAAAAAAACTGTAAAGCATTATAGATACACCTTACCAATCCCATTTGCCTTTCCAGATAATTACTATCCTGAATTTGCTATTCCATTTCTATGAACATTTTTAGGCCTTTGTTATGTATCTATATATAGATGGTTCCTGATTTATGATGGCCCAACTTATGATTTTTGACTTTATGATTGTGTGAAAGCAATGGGCATTCTGTAGAAACTGTACTCTGAATTTTGAATTTTGTTTTTTCCTCTAATCTAATGATATGTAGTATAGTACACTCTTGTGATGCTGGGCAGCCACAGTAAGCCATAGCACCCACTCAGCCATGCAGTCATGAAGGGAAACAACTGATACTCTACAGTGAACATTGTAACTTAATGCATTTCTAAATTAAGATATTTTTAACTTACAATGGGTTTATGGGTACATAACCCCATTGTAAGTCAAGGAACATCTATATTCATAAACAACATAGTTTTCTGTATTTTAAGACTATATAGGTGAAGTCATACACTATATAGTTTTATATAACATGCTTTTTTGACTCAATATATGCAGTGTTTTTTAAATTTATTTCTAATGATACAAAGACTTATTTAGTATTACATTGTAGAAATATTCTATAATTCGTTTATCCATTTTCCTGAACATTTGTCCTTTCCATTAGTTTACTATTACAGATAATTCTGTAATAAACATTGTGTATTTCTCATTGTACATATGCAAGAGTTTATGAATGACGGTGTTTTTCAAACTTTGATTACAATTAGTATAGGTCACAATCAGTTTCTTTTTTTAAATCAAGTGAAAGAGAATAGAAAATACCAAAGTATGTTTCATACAGTTAGAGTAATTGCTCTTTCTTAAAGCTTTTATTTTGTTGTGTGTGCATGTGCTTTAGAGAGAGAGAGAGAGAGAGAGAGAGAGGAAGCAAGAGGGGAAGAGATGTGTGTGGGCCATAACGTAAAATCTAATTCTTCCTGGAGATCTCAGTCAAAAAAGTTGGAAAAGTGTCACTCTTTTGCAGTGGTTCTTACATTGTTAGTGTTCATCAGAATCACCTGAGGGACTTAATAAAACAGATTGCTGGGCTTCACCCCCAGAATTTTTTACTCAATAGATCTAGAGTAGGGCATGAAAATTTATATTTTCAGCAAGTTCCCAGGAGATACTGATGCTGCAGGTCTGAGAGTGACGTTTTAAGAGTTACTGTTCTTCGTTTGTTACCTAGGAGTGGAATTACTATGATATGGGATTTGCATATCTTCAGGCAGGATTTCAGATTCCCCTTAACATCTTTGCAAAGACTTTATAGCATTAGACTTTTAATTTTGCTAGTCTAGTTGGTTTGAAATGATATCTCATTATTTTAATTTGCATGTTCCTGGTTTCCAGTGAATTTATACTTTTATTCATATATTAGACCTTCATCAACACTCTGAATTAGCTTTTCCATTCCTTTGCCCATCATTTGTTCATTTTTCTATATTTATTTATAGGGATTATTTAAAACTTCTAGACATGAATGATTGATTTAGCAAATGTCTTCTCCCAGTAGATAGCTTACCTTTACCACATTGTTTCTGATATTTTTTGTTGACTTTCATTTTAATGTTATCTAATTATTGTTATTTTTTGGATGATTTGTGCTTTTCTGAGTCATTTTAAGGAAACCTTTCTCTACAAATCAATAAGAAACACACAACCCTATTAAAAATGGGTAGAATATATAAACAGGCAATTCACAGGGGCAAAAATTGAATGGCCAGTAAAAGGCATGACAATGCCAACTATTAGTGAATATGTGGAATAAGAATTCTGAAATACCATTGAGGGAATATAAGTGTGTATACCCGCTTTTAAGAACACCGTGACAGTATATCAGAATACACTCTACTTTTGTGTATACTTAAAAAGAACAACAACAAAAAGAACACCATGACAATATCTAGTAAAACTGAAAATGCTCCAGCACCATCAGTCAGCAGTCATGCATCTAGGCATCTATCCTGGGAAAAATCTTGCACATGCACATTAGATTTCACAAGGGTATTTATAGTATCATTTGCAAACAGTAATGTCACATGCTCATCATTAGGAGAATGGATTAAGCATGGTATATTCATAAAATGAATACCATATAATAGAGAGTTAATAAAATAGGATTACAGACATCAATATGGATGAAACCCACAAATATAATTTTGAATAAAAAATGTTGCAGACTCTTCCTTTCAGGTTCAACATCTCAAGTGCTTGGAAGTCATTACTCCTATCTTACAAGAAGAAATAGCTTAATGAACTAAAAATCAATGAATTTTTCTGGGCACATCAGATAATTAGTCACAGGGCAAACTACAACCCTGAAATCTGGAAAGATAGATAATTATAGGAAATCACATCCCAAATCTGCTTATAGGAATAGAAGACACTGGAGCCATAAACTGATAGGAACAGTTAGCAATAACTGACAAATTGGTGGAGGTGGAATGTAGAGTAGTGTAGGAGTGATAAATCCCTGTCAGTTGAAATCTAAACTGACCCCCACATCTTAATGACTTTTACTTCCATTGGCCCTACAGGCTCTAAACAGATTAATAAAATTTGGCTCAGTTCTTATTACTTGATAAGTCACATCTGGCTACAGCCCCACCCCACCCCATTAGAAAGCATGCTCAAAAAAAAAAAAAACAGACTTGAGGAGATAAAACAAGCATGAGAATAATATTCAAGATGTGACACAAGTTTTTGAATTAGCAGATATAAAATTTAAATATCTATGATTAGTATTATAAGGAGTCTACTAGTAAAATTAGAGAGCATGCAAGAGCAGATGGCTAATGTAAGTACAGAGGTAGAAACTCAAAGAATCAAAAGGGGATGCTAGAAATAAAACACTCCAACTGAAATGAAGAACTATTTGAAAGACTCATGAGTAAGTTGAGTAAGTTGGAAATGAGAAAGGAAATAAACAGAAAGCTTAAAGACATGGCAGTAGAAACTTCCCAAGCTGAAATACAAAGAAAATGAATAGAACAAATGGAACAGAATAACTTAGCACTATGGGACAATTCCAAAAGGAATAACATATACCTTATTGAAATACCAAAAGAAAAAGAAGAGAAAAAGGAGGAGAAAATTTTGGAGTAGTAATGGCTGAAAATTTTCTGAAACTAATGACAGACAACAAACCACACATCCAGGAAGTTGGAAAACATTAGGCAGGATAAATATAAAAAACCACTCCTAAGCATAACTTGTTCAAACTACAGAAAGCCAAAGACAGAAAAAGTTTTAAACCAGCCAGAGAAAATAAAATTTTTACCAATATAGGAACAAAGATTAGAATTTCGTAAGACTGCTCATCAGGTAAGAAGTACTAGTATTGAGGAGAGAAAAACTCACCCACCTAGAATTCTTTATCCAGAAAAATGATCCTTCAAAAGTGAAGGAAGGGTCTGGGGTTGTTGTTCAGTGGTAGAATGCTTGCCTATCATGTGTGAGGCACTGGGTTTGATCCTCATCACAACATAAAAATAAATAAAATAAAAATATTATGTCTGTCTACAATTATTTTTTTTAAAAAGTGAAGGAAAAATAATAAAGAATTTTTCAGACAAAGACATGGAATTTGTCACCAAAAAAAATGTTCTCCAAGGAGAAGGAAAATTATATAAATCAAAACTCAGATCTGCATAAAGAAAGAGCATAAGTGAAGGACACATGAAAGTTAAATAAAATCTTTTTATTTTCTCATTTCAAAATTATCTAACTTTTCAAAGTAATTAAAATAATGTTTTGTATGCTTATAACATGGATAAAGTGAGATGAATAACAATATATGTTTGTGTGTCTGTTTATTATATATACATATATATGTATATATATTGTGTATATATATATATGTATATATACACACACGCATACATACATACGTATGTGATCACTCACACACACAATCCCTGAAATAAGACAGTGTTATTTAAAAGTGGACTTACATTACTTGAAAATGTATGTTGCAAACTCTAAGGCAACCATTACAAAGTTATAGAAGGAAGTAGGCTATGAGAGGGGTG